ACACCCGAGGAGAACAAGGCTGCTCTTGACGCCGCCAGAGCCATGTTCAAGCACTACCCGGACATCGTCATCCAGCAGCTCGGACTTGACAACTGCCAGAACACCATCGTCGGTGACGCCATGACTCGTGGTGTGTCTGGTGGAGAACGTAAGCGTGTGACCACGGGCGAGATGGAGTTCGGCAACAAGTACGTCATGATGATGGACGAGATCAGCACGGGTCTGGACAGTGCCGCCACCTTTGACATTATCACCACGCAGCGCAGTATCGCCAAGAAGTTCCGCAAGACGATCACCTCGCGGGCAGCCATGAACGTAGGGATTTGCGCCTGTTGTCCAAGTGATACGAACATGACGGCGTTGAAGATAATTCCCATCACTAGCTGTGCGTTGGTCTCGTCGAACTGGTAGAACACACTCGAGTAGAGTAACCCCATCAGAATCACCATGACGGAGCGACCAATGAGGAAGGCCGTGTCACGCATGGTGAGTGTGATCTGACGCTGCACGACGCCAATGGTGCTGTCCCAGAAGTTCTGGTGGAATTCCGGGATCGGGTCGATGTGCTTCGTCTTGTCTTCAATCAGATTTGGGTGGACTGGACCGTGGAGATCTTCCATCATGCGACCGTAGATTCTGGAGCGCGTGAACAGATCGGCATACTGACTGGCTGTGCGTGGGATACTGCTGGATGGAGTCGAGCTCACCTCGTACTGCGCCTGCTTGTCGGTGCCCAAGTCCAGCAGGAAGTCAGCCACATCGCGACGTGGAGGACACTTGAAGCCCAGACTCTCGAAGTAGCCCAATGCCTCAGCACGCGGACCATGGTACATGACGTGGCCCTCGTTCAGGATCACCACGTCGTCGAACAGCTCGAACACCTCGGGTGACGGCTGCAACAACGAGATCACTATCGTCTTGCGGAACTTCTTGGCGATACTGCGCTGCGTGGTGATAATGTCGAAGGTGGCGGCACTGTCCAGACCTGTACTGATCTCGTCCATCATCATGACGTACTTGTTGCCGAACTCCATCTCGCCCGTGGTCACACGCTTACGTTCTCCACCAGACACACCACGAGTCATGGCGTCACCGACGATGGTGTTCTGACAGTTGTCAAGTCCGAGCTGCTGGATGACGATGTCCGGGTAGTGCTTGAACATGGCTCTGGCGGCGTCAAGAGCAGCCTTGTTCTCCTCGGGTGTTCCGCCAGCGAAATGCTGGGCGTCACGCTCCGAGAAGCCTCCACCGCAACAGGCGTGTGCAAACTCGAGCGTCTCTTTGACTGTCAATGAAGGGTAGTGCTTGTCACGCTGAGTGACGTAGGATACAAATTGGGGCAGACGTCGGAGCAGCTCGTTGGCTGGTGCTCCGTTGTATGTGACCTCGCCTTCAACTGTGACGTTCTTCTGTTCCGGAAACCTGCCACTGAGCAGCTTCATAAGCGAAGACTTGCCGGATCCAGGCTGGCCCAGCACGAGCGTGATGGTGCCTGGCTTGAAGACCCCACTGACGTTCCTGAGGATCTGCTTCCTGACCGTGTGCTTCTTGGCGCCCAAACCGCGGACGCTCTTCATGAGCTCGTTGGTGAGCGTGGGTAACTCGACCTTGATGTCGGTCTCGTCCTTGACGACGATATCAGCCGAGATGGAGACGTCCTTGAAGCGCACCTCCATCTGCGGGAGTGCTCTACCCAGTGCCTTCTCCATGCGAGAGGCAACGTGGTCGTGGAGTGCCTGAGGACCCTGTGCCATGAGCGTCTTGCCATTGTCATACTCGATGGTGGCACGCATCGGCGTACTCGAGTCCGCCGGGTTTATCGCTCCCATGATGTAACTCTGTGTTGTTTTCGGAGGTTATTTTTTGTTTTTGGATGTGAAGGCGTTGGACTGAGAGCGCAAATTCAAAAGTGAGCTGCCTTGGCAAAGGCGCGTGGACGGTGTGAAGTGAGACTGTCCTTTTGCGATGATTTTCAGTCGAACGTACCCAACCAGTAAGTAGTTAACTGTATGTACCGACTGACTGAAGTTGAGGCGAAATGTCGCTGCAACTGCTCAAGATCGCGATTATTATTCCGTTTGAATTGATGGTGCGGGATAATCGGGCCGAGGTTGATGCAACCTCAGGTAGGTGCGACCATCACTCCTGCTTAGCTATATCTGGGTTTCCTTGTGCTGATGAAAGTTTATCGTACGTACCAGTGGGATGCAAGAATCCAACAGGTAACCCAAAAAAAAACAAGGAGTAATTTGACGCACATGTCAGCTGTAGATTGGCGGGGAATATACACCGTGACGCCGCAATGTATAATAGATCTACAACAAACGGCGATGCCTAGTAATGGTACTGCATCCATAAAACTAAGGTAAAACGGCGTAATTCCCCCTGGACAGGGTACTGCAATATGCAGACAACCTCGTCAGATTAAGCCCAGTCCCGTTTGGATGTGGCATCAGACACAAGCCTATAGCGGCGTTTCCGCCATACTGGTTGTAAGTAGGAATAACTCGAAGTGCATCTTGTCGAGAACCCTGGACCAGCCAAGAACGTTGTATCGAGCGTGACAGGAACGCTGAACAACCTAAGGGAAACGCTGCGTACACAGATAGCCTTGATGGATCACCGAACAACCGCGGGTTTTAAACGTGACTGGCACGTGCACACGATGATGAGGCCTCTGGAGCCACCGCTATCTGTCTGCGAGGTGAGAGAGGCAAGCATGAAATGGACGTGAAAGAAGGCTAAGATTGCACAATGCAAGGTTGAGTGCGCATTGCGCGCACAAGTCTCTGTAAGTTCACGAACTTACTGTTTAGTCACGGGTGTACATGTACAATCCTACACGATAGTACATGCACTTGGATCGTTGTTTGTATGTACAGTATGCATCTCCGCGATCAGCACCACGCAGCTCAATTAGCTCTGTAAAAGTACCGGGACAGCAGGCATGCACCGAGAGAGTTAAATACGTGTATCCTTTGTTTGTAATGTTTGCTTCCTACAACTGCTGAATCTTACTGAAGCGTTAAATACCCCTTCGCTTGTAATTATTGCTTCCTACAACCACTTGAATATTTGATGCTTCTGGGTGCTGATATAAGACTGTTACAGCAGCTACAGTTCTACCTGGTAACTTAACTACATACCAGACAGACACGATGTGAGTGTACATCTACAGTAGTAGATTTAAGCTCCTCGACGGGCAAGATCGCAATCAGGTCGGAAACAATGGCATGACATGTGCCTTTACATGTATAAGAATGAAGGTCGATTGTTTGCGGTTCCACTTTTTGTTTGCGACCCAGGCACCTCAATAGGTAATCGGACACTCGCATAATCTGAGTGCGACTAAGATTTGCCCACAACGAACGATGCAAGAAGCTGTTTAACGGAAGCACAATTCTAACGTGCTTCGCCTCGCAGCAACGGCATTTTGAGCCTTAAGAGTATCACAGCACCCCTATTGCTAGTATCATACACACACAGCCTGTTTGTGGGCATGACACAGCTAGTAAATAAGTATCCTGCCAGTCCAGCGCCGAATTTCCCACACCCCAATGTAAACTCGTACCTAAACGAAGTTCCGTCATCTAACCTAACCGTAGCAAGTTGACGCCCGCAAACGCTAGATGTGATTGGTCAACAAAGAGGTGAATTTGTGTGGTGCACATGAGATCTCGACGGTCGCACGCAATCCGTTGGAACGTCCACATCCCAAGAATCAGTTGCTTCAGCATTTGCCTCCACCCTCAGCATGACAAAACTTAGCAAAGATAACTGGTTAGCTGTCAGCCTCACGCTATCCAAGCGGACAAGCGCTGCATTTATCTCACATCCGGATGGTTTTAACCTCAGCATGGCCATCATCAAAGCCGATGCCGCTGTCACCATGGTCACTTGGATGCCATGAACAAGCTGGTGGCCGACGCGAAGCTTTTAATCACTTCTCGATTGACGCTCTCGCAGCGACATCGACAAACTATCCGATCTACATCCACTGAAAACGTCGTAGCAAAACAAAGTACAGCATCCACACGGGTATAATGTCATCGACGCAGACGGACACATCGGGTCAGCCGATGCGCGCCACCATCGAGTA